GATAAAGACAGACCACATCAAAATCAGCCAAACCTTCGCTGTCTGTGGCCGTGTTATTTATCATTCCGAAGAATGTATAATGAACAGCCCCGATCGATGATCACTGGGTGTGTGTGGCTAACGCTTCATCAAACACCCGTTTTCCCAACACAAGGTTGCAAAACGCTGATTGAAGACCTGAAACAAGTGAGATCTCTCTACATAAACGCTGGACTTTACAACTGTGCGCGGAAATATACGTACATTTCCAATTTACTGTAAAGTTACACCGATGATGAATGAATAAGCAGGGATAGAAGTTTACGGTGTCTTCTTTCACAAGTCACCATGAAGGTTGGTGAATTGCTATGTGTACGCGACACCCGTCAAGGAATAATTTTAACTCAAGCACATTATAAAATGCGTTATCCGGGTATCTCAGTGCATCTCCAAGACCAAGTTTAGCATACAATACATAAGCAGAGCTCATCATGCAAAATCCCTAACTCTACTGAATGGCAACAAAAGTGTCTCAATAACAACTTGAGGATTACCCCGAACTTGTTTTTCCGAACCGGATACACGGTAGAGACCGACGGTATGCATGCCGCGAGCAAGTACTTCAGTGACACAGCGAATCACCAGAGCTGGTATCCGAGGGTATTGATCCTTTGGACACAACTCAGCTAGATTCAGGTTTCGTGCTCCAAACCGATGTGTCAAAGTTGGGCTAGAAGGAGTCGGGGGATTACCACGCGAGTATGGCGTTACAGGCATGTTTGCAGCGCGCTTGGGTGAGGTTGCCGGGGTACGTCCATTAAATGAGGACAAAGGAGTTCGTGGTGTATTCGGAGGGATGCACGTTTGTATTAACTAAAATAGTGGATTCAAAAGGCAAACAAATCAAAGGTAGGTCACCACACATTGTTTACCATGATAACTCAACTGAAAAAATAAAATAAAAACATACCTGTGATTTGCAGTCGGGATGGACAACTAATCGACAGACAACACATCTCAGTGCGGACCTTCCGAAAGTGATACGCCGACCACAATAACCGCACAATTCCATACGAAGCACCGGTTTGGAAGTGAAACTGTGGGGCCGATTGAGGCGACTGAATGAGGCAGATTGCTGCAGTAAAAAGGAGAACACATGCTCGAGCGATTTAAAAGCCAAAGCACAATTATTGGCGCACACTACTGAGGATAAAAATGATCCAGAGAGAAACAAAACAAAAACGAAGTCGGAACTAAGCTATCCTTGGTAATTCGCGCTGTCGTACGATCGTGCGCCGGTAGCTTTAAATGGTCAGCTGTCACCTGATCAACGGCCAGTATTCGTTTCAACTTGTTTCCAATTGTATACGTCAAACAAAAGAGGCCCGCCAATCATGATAAAAATTCACCATGTTGCAACTCTCAGTCAGATCATTGAATAATCCCCAACAATCCAAAGCAATGGGAAACGGTCGACTCAAATCATCTTAACACAAAATGCCAATTCATAATCTTCTAACATCCTATCAGCCCAAGTGCTCACAGACGTCGAATTCGTGTGTGAAACACGACAGGATGTAGATCAACATCTGGGAAAGTAATTTCCAAGACTACGAAGCGAACGTCACTCACAGTGGTCCCTTGATTAATAATTTATCA